CCCTAGTAGATCCAAATAATTCAAAAATTTATATTAATTTGATTGTGTGGTAGTAAGATATCTCATAATATTTCAGCATCGGCCAAAATTATGTTTTGCTGTCTCGCTCGGTTGGGTGTCTCGCTCGCTTGTGGATTACGTTACCATGTTAAAGATGAGTCAGCACTAGCTGAATCGTGACGTAGTCCCTATATCACGTGTGCCGTCTGAGTTTCTGAGGTAAGATCTTTCTCCCTAGAATGATAATTATGGCCAATCAGGTCAGGGGCTTAGAAGACCCAGTATGTACGGTCAAAGCGATATGAGTCAGTGGTCCTGAGCATTATCCGTATATAGACTAGGCGGGTGGGCCGGGCCGGCTTGGGGGGGTGTGGGCCGAAGGGGCCGAAAGATTCTCCCGCAGCATCAGATGTGATAACTGACATGTCCCAACAAGACCCATCCCAGAGAGCCTCGCTACCTGCGAGGCTTTGGTGGAGCGCCAGGCTAGTTGGTGGGCGATGATCAACAATGGACGGCCTGATTGCGTACTTTACGGAGATTATCCGATAAGCGAATGCACGGTAGGATTCGGCTCTTGGACGACAGCTCAGTTTCGGAAGCGTGATAGCAAGGACGGAGTAAGAAGAATCGAAATTCACTCTGCTTAGGACATCCTTTGATGAACCTTACAACCCGATGTCGGCGCGAAAAGCCAGCAGCGCTATTCCAGTAGGTTCAACCTACAGAAGAGCATCTTGTAATTACTGGTGTTATAACTCGTAGAGAGCAGAGTTTCTTAGGTATAATAGGCTGTATAGATGGACCTCTAGGGTATAGGGTGCATCATTGTCATCCGCTATATGTCAATCTTACGAAGACGCACGAAGCACTGCCGCGGCTTGTTCACCACGGCGAGGCACCCTCCATACCCAGACATGGCATCGGGGCACTTGAGCAGCTCAAAATGCCATATCATCATGGTCAACATAATTCTGAATTCGACATACGCCAGCCTGCGTCCGAAGCATGCCCTGACTCCTAGACCGAACGGGATGCTGGGCCCAGCCTGGGAGTCAAACGCCAAACTGTCGCTGCGACTGCCATCTTTGTCGTCCTTCCTTTCTGAGACCAGCCACCGCTCCGGCTTGAACTGCTGGATATCTCCGTCATCCCAGCTACGTGTCTGCCCACGTTCCTTTGCTTGCAGTGAGCGCGGGCTACGGCGGCTCTCATCTACATCGAGAGCCGGCGAGAGGATGCTATGGCTGTTGTGCAAGAAGAAGACGAGCGTGCCTTTGGGGACCCGGTGACCCAGGAGCGTCGTGTCCCTAGTCGCCTCGCGATCACCAATGGGCACGGTGCCGCCGCAGCGCAGGATCTCTTCCATGGTGGCATCGAGCAGAGGCACCGACGTCTGCATGATCTCCTCGACTGTCGGAGCGCGCTTCTCTGCTGCAGCGGAGCTGAAGGCTGCCAGGAGGGCTCGTCGAAGCTGTGACTGGGCGTCCGCGTGATCAGCCAGGAGCTTGACGCCCCAGCACATGGTCGTGCTCATGGTGTCGTGGCCAGCGACGATGAACCCAAAGACCTCGTCGATGACGGCCGCCGAGAAGAAGTCGGGCTTCCGTCCCTCCCTCTGGGCCTGTTTTTCTTCCCTGTCGACGATGCGGTCGACGGCAGACCGCTCCCATGCCTGTCCGGTGTTGCGATGTTGATTCTGCCGGCGTGCCTCGACGGCCTTTTCAATCTCCCGTCGGATACATCCGTCTTTAACGCTCATCCACCATTTAAAGGTCGGTGTGGCTTTGACGTACCACCACATCATGCGCGGCGAGGGCGCGCTCTTAACCCGCTCCATGGCATCGCCCAACTCGAGCATCGACTCGATGGCCTCGTCGATTTCGGCGTGCAGGAAATGGACCGCCTGGTCCTGGTCCGCTCCGTGGCCATCCGAAGGAGGTTCGCTTGCCGGCAAGTCCTTGAGCCTCTTTGTCTGCGGCTCCGTGGCATTGTGGGGGAACTTGGAGCCAAAGGAAAAGGCCAAGACGGCGTCCAAGGCCGAGTGGAATATGTCCTCGGTGGCGGAAAATGGCCGGCCGGCCGCCAGCCTCGCCTTTACCTGCCACAGCTCCACGAAGCGTCGGCTGCTGGTGTAGATGCTGGGGGCGGCCACTTCGCTTAGGAAGGCTGGCGTCATGGTGTCCTGGACGAGGCGGCGGTGGAACTTCCACTCTGGACCTGTCTTGAGCGTGAACTGCTGCCTGTTGAGCAGCCCGCTGAACATCTCGGCCGTCAGGCTGGTGCGATCAAAATCCTTGATGCGGTTCAGCATCACGTCTCGGGCCTCCTCGTAGTCGCTGACCAGCAGGATGGGCTTGCCCATGGGCCGGATGAAGATCTGGCTAATGACGGACTTGGACTTGAGGTTCTGGTCGCGCAACCACGCCACAATATCTCCCGTTTTGGAAACTTCCGTAAGCATGTCTGGGATGTCTCCCAGCAGTCTGTTGGCGGACGCCGCATTGTAAGGAATGCCGGGCAGTGGACACGGCAGGGCTGACCTATAGCCAATGTAGAGGACGGCCATCAGAATGAGGGCGATGGCCGCGGTCGTAGCTGTAATCATCCTGGCTGTGTCTTACTTCCAACACTCCACGATGAAAGCCTAGGCAGCGCCTACCCGTTTGTTAGTGCTAAGATGCGGCCTTCAATGGCAGCTTCGTTAAACGATCCAGGGAGGTATGGGAAGTCTCAACAGTCTCACAATAGAGTGTCCATTCTCCAGACGTGCTTAAGTGGGACATGCTAGGTTCGTAAACATTCCGTTGCAGGTATAGTCTGCAGGCACAGAAGATTAGTCTTCAGGAGGCCTGGAACAGGATTCTGCCTTGCCACTCCACCAGCCCCGAAGCCTCCGAAGCTCCGAGACCCTCATATGGAATGCCCCGAGTGCATAAAGATTGTGCGGCAAAGCCAACCGAGATTTCCTACGGCTAGTGGGGCCGCGCGAATCATTGGGATGGATTCTAGCTTCCTCGCTATGTCCACAAGCGACGCCCAGAACGACTACTTTTGACATCTAGTAGCACAGTCCGTGAAGCATACTGGCCATGGATTCTTTATTTGCAGCTACCGAGAACTAGGGATGAATTGGAAATACATGGCTCGAACTCATAACTGCTTTGCCCTCCTACATATCCATCTAAACTGTGGTGGCACCGTTCTGCTGAGGAGAGACTTTTGTGACCTGCTCGCCAGCTCGTACAATATGATGGTCTGTATTATCCTGCATGATAAAACCGTTCTGCTTCTCAGAGTGGGCACGCTTCCAGATCTCCACCTCGCCACCTCCGTAGATGACTCCGACGCGCATTGTAGAGAGCAGATTATGCGCGGCGTTGGAATGCTGGTACACACCGCCGTTGAAGGTGGCTGTCGCGTCCTTACCAATGGCCGAGGAAATGAACGTCTTGCCGCCGGGGTGGTCCTTGATAAAGTGCGCCACATCATGGACAACACCGGCGATGGCCACGAGGGCTCTCCCGTCGTCCTTTGCCGCCTCGGTTTTGAAGTCGTCCCAGGTCATGACGGGCAACTGGGAAATCGGGGTGCCCCAGTCTAGCTTGGACCGCCTGATGTCTAGCTTCTTTTGCTGCTGCTGCAGTCTGCCCTTTTCAATTTCATTCTGCTTAAACTCCTTGAGGTCGTATGCCAGGCCGAGCTGCTTCCACATCCAGATAGCCCACTTTGTCGGGTCGTACTGCCACCACTCGATAGCGTTGCGGTAGTCGGACGGGAACTCGTGGTGGAAGTTATGGTAGCCCTCACCCAATGTCACTAGGGCCGTAATGACATGGTCGCGGGGCGAATTTCGATCTTCAAAGGGCTGGTCTCCTAACCAGTGGGCCAAAGAATTGACGCAAAACGTGGCCTGTTGCACAAACGTCGCCCGTAGAATACCAGCGTAGATGAAACCGCCCACCCAATCGCCCCAACCAATGCCGCAGACCAGTGTAGGGAAGATGAGGCCCATGAAGAGAACAGCCTTGATATAGTGCCGATGCTGCCATATCACGATCGGATCCTCGTTCAGGTCGGTAATATCGGCCCGGCCGATGTTCTTGGGGTTTTGCTTCATCACCATCCAGCCTAGGTGGGAATACCAGAAGCCTTTGCGCACGGAATAGGGGTCCTTTTCTGTGTCAGTATACCGGTGATGAGCGCGGTGGCCCCTCGACCACCATCGAATAGAGCCCTGGACAGCGCCAACGCCGACAGCCGCCAGATATATCTTGAGAGGGGTTGACGCTCGGTATGAAGAATGCGCCCACAGGCGATGGTAGCCTGCCGAGAGTCAGCATTTTCCTCGCCGATCGCACAAGATATTCGTGTGACGCACCCGCTGTAATGCCCAATCCGGTATTAAAGTAGTAGATAACGGCAAAGACGGCGGTGGCGCGCTGAAGTGGATAAGAATAGGCGGCGGCGAAGCCCATGAGCGGGACAACGATGATAAAGAAGACGTTCAGCCAGTTGACATGTTGGTACCAGTTTGCCCACGTTATGGGCGTCTCTGTGATGTGAGGCTTTTTCGAGTTTCGTTTGCCGTCTGCAACGGCAACAGAAGGTGAGGCCGCCATTCTGTGTCCGCTCAAGTGTGTGTGTGTCAGTTGTTGGATCAAGTCAGGCAGCGTGATGTGGATTTGCTCAAGACGTTCTTCCTAATATGGGAAGACGAGAGGAAAATAGCAATATCGGAGGAGACAGATAAAATGCTGGCACCGGCCCGTCGCCGCTGGGCCGCATTTACCAGGCGTCCATTTTGTTGAGTAAGGGTTGTTGGCCCATTTTGTTGGGGATAATAATGTGTCCACAAAGCTCTCAGCATATTACAATGCAATAGGAAGACAGATATCCCGACTTGGAAACACCGGTGTAAAGTGGGCTGACGGATGGATTCTAGATCCAGGCGCTAATAGATAAAGTACTAACTATTATAGATAAAAGGTGTCTATATTAATCTATTTTGTATGTGCGTCCTTCCTATTTTAGCTTGGGGTAGAGTTATTTACACATAATTTGATGTAGTCTAGGTAGCTATTTATTTAGTCACTAAGCATAGTACATGATATATGGAATAGATATGATGCTAAGATCAGATCCTGGCCGCTTATTTGACTGAATTTCGAGAGCATTGGGTGAGCTTGGGAGGCATAGTGGGATGACTCGCTTACGAATTACATTAGTGTACAGAGTAGGCATGTTAGTGAGTTTCTGTCGGCTTTATTCTCAGCCCCCATATGCACCTCTGTACATAGTCCAGCACGCTGTCAGCCTCATGGTAGCAGAGTGCCTCCAGAGCCGGTGGGTCCACAAGACTGTCCGCAATCGACGGACCTGCTCCTTATTCCTGAGAGGCAAACCACGTAGCACTGATATATGGAGGACCTAACGCCGTTGGCCCCAGAGGTATCAACCAAAGCGAAATGTTTTGTTGATCCTGGCCCTCTCCCCCAGATATATGATAATGCACCCTGCACAGCCCACCGGCACTGTTGTCGTGACCAATATTGCTAAAAGATTTGCTTGCTACCGCTGCAGAGACCTTAAGCTCCGATGCCCGCGGAACTTTGAAGATGAACCTTGTGAACGCTGCCTGCGTGTAGACGCTCACTGCGTCACCAGCAGCGGTCGACCGCTGGGTAGACGGCCAGGGCAGACCGAATCTCACGTCGACGTGGCCGTCTGTCCAGCTAGCCGTCACCCCCAATACAAACGACAAAAAGTTACCGGAGATTCTCCCGCCACAGCCAGGGCCCGCAGGACGGTAGGAGCTTCTGATGCTTCTGCGATACCAAGTCACAGCCCGGCTAAGCCGATGCACGCGTCCTACCAACACCACCCGAGTGTTCCCACGGATCCTGGCCTATCTCAGTTCGACGGCATGCCGGACATGCGACTGGAAGACATTCATGACCCTTACGACCTTCTAGAACCAAGCACGGGGACCACATGTCCTATGAACCAGGGAGACGGCTTCCCCGCGACGGGTTCTGGGGATCCGCCGCCCTTTGTCGAATCGCCCCACTGGTCCGCCCAAAGTATCCCAAACCTGGACGAGTTCTGCGACTATGACATCGGGGCGCCTGACATGCAGCCGAGCTTATACGGCGAGCCCCACGGCAGCAATTGCGTACGGACAGACACCGCGAACATGAGCCGCAACAGCAGAAACGGCACCGACACGGGGTCAACAACCCCGAGGCTCGACAGCGACTGGACGATGCCCCTGATCAATGCGTTAGGAAGCATCTCGTGCCAGCTGGCCGAGCTGAGGATGCAAGCATGCGACCTATCCTCTCAGCCGGCCGGGGCCTGCACGTTCGAAGGCATCATTGTCCAGTGGCCGTAGCATGTCATCCTATGACCGCTCTATGCTTAAACGAGAGCCCGGGCTCCTGGACGCTGCCTCGACAAAGGTCTCGTAGAATTGGTGACCCACAGATCAAGTAAACCGGTCTATCCAACATATACCAGCGTCTTCAGCATCTCGATAAACTTTTGCTCTTCCTCCATGAAGTGGTTCCCTTCCAGCGGAGGACTTGGGTAGAGCGCCTCCAGGGGAGTCTCGCGGACACGAACAGTGACGGGCTGCTCGGTCGATTCTCCCGGTGCTGCCACAACCTCGACGATGTTCCCGTCGCCGAACTGCGGCTCTGTCATGACCTTGAATGTTTCCTCGGCGGCTTGTTCGGCGGTAAGACCGATGCTGTAGCAATATGCTGTTAGCTTGCGGCTGTTCGGCCCAAGACTGGGAGTCAAACGCACTCTGTGGGCAGAAGCTGGCCTTTGCAGTAATCGGCATCGAAGATCGGCGTCTATACAAAATGTACGCATTAGCACAGCCGGAATGTATACAACTATGTAACGAGAGAGACAAGGCTGGTGGAAACTCGCCTTGACCGGTCCCGGGCAAACAGCAGCGTTGCGGATGCCAAACATCCCCCTCAGCGGGCTGAGGCACTTGACCATGCTATTGATGGCTGCCTTGCTACTAAAGTACAGTGGCGACTGCATCAGGTGGACGTATCCGCAGACGCTCGACAACCAGACCAAGTTTCCGTCAAAGTTCATCTCGGCGTCTGGGTGATAGAACCAGTAGTTGAGGGCAATCTGCGCCAGCCGGATGGGCCCCATGGCGTTGACGGCATAGGTCTGGTACACGCCGGGACTGCAGTCAACCTTGTCCTTTGCGGCGGGAGACACGCCGGGGGGCTGCCAGAAGGTGCTCGAGGGCGGCTCGTAGATGGCGGCGCCGTTGACGATGATATTGACAGTGCCGTATGTCTCGATCGCCTTGTCGAACAGGGTCTGAAGCTGCGCCCAGTCCGATACATCGGTCTGCTGGAATATGGCTGACGCCTTGCCATTGACTCCAGACACGGTGCTGGCCTCTTCTAGTGTCTGCTTTGCCTCTGGTCGCAGAGTCAGGTCGGCCATGACGACCGAGCAGCCCTCCTGCAGCAGGATCTTGGTCAGGGCGTGGCTGATGCCGGACCCAGCGCCCGTCACAATGGCAACCTTGCCCTTGACACTGTACGCCGTGCGCGGGTGGACTTGTGTTGGTATTTTGTTCATTTTGAGGGAGTATCAGAGGTGTATCGCTAGGTGGACAAACGTGAGCAAAATCAGACGGCCGTCCTGTATCTTTTTACTTTCAAGAGCCAAGGGGTCGACTGCAATTCATGGCTGCATTCCTCTCTATTCCCTCTCCCCTGAGGCCTTGACCTCCCTGCAGCGAATCCTCCGACGGAATCCTCCGACAGCGGATGGTTATCGGGATTTGAGCCGATTTCCGACCGACACGCATGGAAATGTAGAGCAGTTAGCTTCGGATAATCCTCTAAGGATCAGGATGCTATCAGCCCATAGTCAACAGACTGTTCGCGATTGTAGTCCCTCGACTCTCTCGTCGCACAAGGAAGTAGCATTGCGCGCTAATACCCAACGCTGTTGCAGCCATTTCGCAAACTATGCTTCAATCTCCCCAAAGTCTCTCAGGAGCCTGTGGCCCTAGCTCTAACGAGGCGGAACAAATCCGTCAAAAGTATGCCGAGGAGAGGCCGAAACGTCTACGGTCCGAGGGCGTTGATCAATATGTCAGCCTCAACTCCACCGATGACCTGCGTTTGAAAGCGTTCTTGGATGATCCATGGGATCAGGGTGCTGAATCGCCAATTCGCCTCCAATCCGGCGCTCGATATAGGATAGCCATCATGGGCGCTGGATATGGAGGGTTACTATACGCCGCCCGGTTGCTCGACTCGGACGCCGGCTTGAAGCCTGAAGATCTAGTCATCATTGACACTGCGGCCGGATTTGGAGGGACTTGGTACTGGAACCGCTACCCTGGTCTCATGTGCGATACCGAGAGCTACATCTACATGCCGCTGTTGGAAGAGACAGGATACATGCCGAAACACAAGTACTCGTACGGAGAAGAGTTGCGAGAGCACGCAGACAGAATTGCCAAGCAGTGGAAGATCGACGATCGAGCCATGTTGAGGACCGAGCTGCATCGATGCACCTGGAATGATGACAGTTCCGAATGGATGGTCGACCTGACCCAGCGGTCGCCTTCAACCGACGGCGTGTTAACAAGCGAGACCATCTATGCAGACTTTGTGATACTATCCCCGGGTCTGCTCAATAGGCCAAAGCTGCCTCTACTACCTGGCCTAGGGAGCTTCAAGGGACCAAACTGGCTCGCAGCTAGATGGGACTACGCGGCAACGGGAGGCAGCCCATCGTGTCAGCACCTCGACCAGCTACGGGACAAGAAAGTCGGCATCGTAGGGACCGGAGCCACTGCCGTGCAGATCGTGCCAGCGCTGGCAAAATGGTGCGACCAACTTTACGTGTTCCAGAGAACGCCGGCGTCGGTAGACGTGCGAGGCCAGCGACAGACAGACCGGGACGAGTGGACGAAAAACATACAGGCTGGTCCAGGCTGGCAACAGGCCCGACGTCGCAACTTTCTGTCGTTTGGGGCCAACGTCCAGCCCAGCGAACCCGTCGACATGGTATCAGACGGATGGACCAGCTTTCCATCCTACAGCGTCCTCACCGGAGGACCCGCAGCAACGAACGTGACCATGGACACAGCAGCCGAGTACATCTCCGAGATGCATCAGCTTGATCTCATTCGGTCTAACAGAATCCGCGCGCGGGTCAGCGCCGTCGTCAAGGACAGGAGCACGGCGGCAAAGCTCAAGGCCTGGTACCCGGGCTGGTGTAAACGGCCCACGTTCCACGACGAGTATCTGGAAGCGTTCAACAGGCCCAATGTGCATCTCATCGATACGGACGGCCGCGGTGTGGACCGGATAGTTGAGACTGGAATAGTAGCTAATGGCAAGACCCACGACTTGGACCTCGTCATCTTCTCTACCGGTTTCGAGGCTGGCACGTTCGGCAGGTCCATGGATGCCAAATGGGCGGACCCAAGGGCTGACGACGGCCGGATATCTCTGACGGTGCATGGAATGTGCTCCAGGGGCTTCCCCAACATGTTTTTCACCAGCAGTGACCAAGCCGGCATTGCTTCTGTGTTCACGCCCACCTTGGACGCCCTCTCCAAGCACGCGGCCTTTATAGTATCCAAGAGCGTGAAGAGGCTAGAGAAGATGAAAAGCGAGGATTATCCAGCGATTGAGCACACAGTAATCGTGGAGCCCACTTCCGAGGCCGAAGCTGCTTGGGCCAACCGCGTGCTCTCAGCCGCTGCGTCTCTGGCACCCATGGGGGGTTGCACGCCTTCTTACTTCAACGCCGAGGCAAAAATGGACAGCATGCCCATGGACGAACAGATCAAAGCTGCGGCAACAACGCGATGGCCGGCAGGTCTCAATGACTTCGTGCACGTATTGGAGAGCCTCTGGAGCGCCGATGATGACAGCGACTTTGACATAAAGCTGGTCCAAAAGAGGAGACTAAATTAGCTAGTAACTTGGTAGGATTGATCGTTATAAGAGAAGGAATGTTTGAAAGTGTCTTTAAGTATTTGATTGTGTTTAGTATACAGTTATCTAAACAGAATTAAGTTCTGTTCATCCTGAGTCTACTAGCGGAGCATTGTTGAGGGTGTAGTGACACGGGCGCATTAGAGACGATGTTGCTGATTCTGGATGCTGGAGAGGCGGTCAAACTTGGTCTCAAGAGCCGAGCAGAGAGAAATATCATACAACATGACGCCGCAGACAGTCCATGATCTGGCGTAGTAAGGCGGCCTCTCTGCCTTTACTCTATATTCATAAAGACACATAAAATTGCTGCCTAGGACTCCAAAACAGAATCAAGGCTTCCCCTACAGAGCTACTACGAGCTTCTGTCCTCGAATCTCCCCAGCCTTCATCATTTCGAGACCGTCAATGATCCCCTTCCACTTCCCTTGGATCTCGCGAACGGGGTGTGGCCGAAGGCGTCCAGCATCGACAAGACCCTGCACCTCGTCTCGCCATCGGCTGCCCAGCTCCAACATGGTGGGATCCGCATCCCGATGATACGGGCCCTTGAACAGGATCTCCTGACCATGGAGGGCATACGTCAGGGATATGTGGACCTTGACGACCTTGCGTGTCCTCCAATCGGCTGGGACGTAGTCAAGGCCGGCGTAGCGTGCGCCGATGCGACCCAGGGCCGTGAAGCAGCAGCTCACAGACTCGGGCGAGCTGATGCAGTCCAGGGCGTTTCGCAAGTTCCCACCAGTGTGGTGGTCGCGAATGGTCTCACCACAGGTGGGCGACGAGTACCGTACAACTGCGGCGGCGCCATACTCCTGCACCAGAGCCGAGCTGGTGCTGGACGCTGTGGCGATGGGCTGGTAACCGGAGCTGCAGCTGGATTAGCAAGAGCCATTGCCTTCCGACGGATGGAATACGTACATTGACAGTATCTGGCAAGCCATGGTGCCGGTGGCCGTGGCACCACCGTAAACCAATACAGGCGTCCTGGAGCCGTCGTCCCGGGGAGCAGCTGGCTTAGACGGACGTCCAGGGAGCTGTAGCGAGATCTCCATGGCCAGAGCAACGGTGCCCCAGCCAACGCCTCCTAGTGCTGCTCCATCCAGATCGGTCCAGCTATCGGGAACTCGTATCAACAAGCGTGAGTCGGTCACAAGGTACTCGGCAAAAGATCCCTTGTCCGGGTTTCCAGGGTTGGAGCCGTGAACGAACCCGCAAACTCGTGTGCCGTAGGGGAAGTCCTTGTCGGCCGCCTCGCCGGCCGAGACGACGGAGCCCATAAAGTCGCAACCCATTATGGCCCCCGGGCTGGGGTTCGACGCCGGCGACTTGAAGTCAGTCGGATTCAGGGCCACGGCAGAGACGCGGACCAAGACATCGTGAGGCGCCTTGACTTCTGGGCGCAAACGAACTGCCGTCTCTCCTTGTCCCGAGGTTGACTGGACAAGACAGTCCATGGAATTCTGCGGAAGAGAGCCCATTGTGGTTGAAGTTGGATTTGCTTGCTATGCAGCCTATGCCCCTGGTTGCGTCGCGCGTTCAGTGTTTTGGAGCCAATTCTGACGCCCACACTCGTATTGAAGCCTACTTTGTTCTTCCTCGCACAGTCCGTGGATTTGAGCATCATGATTCCCTATTCCTCCGAATTTAGCGATTAGTGTGCCGGCCACCGTCTTCGTGCCGATCTAAACCCTCCGACCAACATCCCAGCTTCCTTCCGAGTCCCCACTATTACGGCTGCTATAGGCCTCCGGAGACGTTGACGATAGACCTTCTGTTGGTTTTTTATTGTCGGCAGAATATTGACTTTGTGGTTTCTAGACATCGTAAACAGAGGGAAAAGAAAAATATTGTCCCTTTCTCAGTCTCTCTCTTTTTTCTTTCCCCCACTCTACTAACAATAGCTTACTTGGTTTTCCCTAAACCCGCTAATCCCAAACAATATATATAGTGCAATTCCTACTTCTATTTAGCTACGTACATAAAGTCTATACAACAGTAAAAAGGAAATTGGACTGCCAGATTTCGTTATTAGGTAACCAGAGCCCCTAGTGTATGGTTAATTACGAGAGGGTACATTGAAGTGCATGAAATGCATGAAACTGGATAGAAGATCTACATATAAACGGTGCTTCTGGATGAGGTTTTATGACAGTAAATTTTTAGAAGTTGTTTACTTGATTTAGGTCTGATCTTGAAGAGAAAGTAAAGTAGTACGCCAGCGATCTGGATTTATACAGACTGGTCACCCATGTAAGAACAGGCGTTGAGTAGAGGCAGCACGGCCCTGAAGCCAGATTTACAACAATATGTACCTAATTATATACACACACCACAAAATCCTGGGAGTACAAAGTCGTCTGTATTAAATCAAAGACTCCTCAGCAATCTCGGGAAGTTCAGAGTGTCCTCCTCTCCAAGCCCCAGAAATACGGCCGACATCGCACTCGACAGGCCCGTTTCCTCCGCTCTCCTGACCCAGTCAGCCAAGTCCACTTGCTGGATAGGCTTTCCCATCTCCTTAGACAGATAGCTCGGGATTTGAGAGACCTTCAGCTCAATATCGCCTGATTCATGAATGTAAACCACCTCCTCGCCACGGGATGGAGTCATCACCGCTCGTAAGAGTCTGTCCGTGACAGTCTCGGGACGTACAAGATCCACGAATCCTTTGAGGGATGGCGCTATCGGCACGGCACTCACCCGTCGCGAGAAGGTGAGCATGTTCTGCAGAACGTCTGCGGCTGGCGTCTGTTCCCCCACGTCGGGACGGAGCACGCTGGATGGTCGATGGATGTAGACCGGGAGCTTGCACAGGGAGTTTGCGTTCTCGAGGTAGACTTCACTGGCCCATTTAGAAGAGATATATCCGTATTTTCCGTCGCACGGCGGCGGTGAGCCGTGAACCGATACCTCTGGGAATGTACTCGACGCCGTGTACATGGTGACTCCCGTCGTGGAGACGTAATGCAGAGGCACCCGTCTTTGTAGGCATAACCGGGCCAGCTCCTTGGTAGAGGTCACGTTGGGTCCTCTCAGAGAAGCGTATGTCTTGAGATGAGATACGTCTGCGCCGTTGTGGATAACAGCGTCAGCTTCAATGCCAAAGATGCGATCCATATCAACCTGGGTCAAACCAAGATTGGAAGCACACAGGTCTCCTTCCAAGCACTCGACGCGTGGAGACAATAGAAGCTCCTTCCTCCTTTCGTCAGTCAAATTCCTGTTTGCGATGCATATGATCTTTTCAACACCGCGCTGCTCGAGAAGCCCGCGAAGCAGATGCTGACCAAGAAACCCAGTTGCACCGGTCAAAACAACCACCCGAGGGGGCTCCCTAGGCGATGGAGATTTTGCGTCTCCCATCGGCACTTCTAGTTCAAACGCCGTCTCTCTGGCCCAATCAATAGACTTGAACTGATCTCCATCTGTCGTGTCCGGTACATCGCTCTCCGGTCCCAGGGCGCGCTGGAGGACGCGGGCCATTCCACTCAGGGTGCTCGTTCTGAAGAGGTCCAGAAGGGTAAGGGAAACATGGCATCTTTCGATAATCTTTTGCTGCAGCTGCACCAACAGCATGGAGGTGCCACCAACGCTGAAAAAGTCAGACGAGGCGCGAATGCCGACATGCCGAACCACTTCCTCTGGCAGAACGCATTGCCACAGCTCGAGAAGCCTGGCCTCGGCATTCGAGAGCGTAGATGTCAGGGTAGTCCTAGTGGCACCGGTCACGCTAAGCAATAGTCCGTGGGCGATTTCTAAATCTGCAAGAGCGCGCCTATCTAGCTTTCCCGCTGTTGTTCTCGGAAGATCATCAACGGGAACAAGAACGGATGGTCGCATTGCATGCGACAGAGGCAGGCTCTCTAGAATCCTTTGAAGGATCGATTCTGCGTCGTAGCTTTCGCCTAGCACCCCTTCAGAAGAGAAGACACAATAGGCGACCATGTATTTGAATGCTGCTTGTTCTTCGTCCTCGGATGCCGACAAATTGGTGCGCACGCACGCCGCCACATCGGCAAGCCGACCTTGAGACGCTTTCAGTACAGTCTGTTCCACGTCTCTGAGATCGATTCGAATTCCGTTTAGCTTGACCTCGGTGTCACCGCTAAGGCGGCCTTTGAGGACCAGCGTGCCGTCCTCTTTCAAGTAGCCGGCGTCACCTGTACGGTACATGGTAGTCCAGCCACACCTGGTGTACTCGGAAGTTGCAAATGGATCTGGAACAAAAGACGCCTTTGTCTGTTCCGCGTTGTTCAGATAGCCTTTTGCGACTCCAACGCCGCCAATGGCAACTTCACCGGTTAAGCCGAGAGGCTGCAGGCTCTGGTTGTTGTCGAGAATGTAGAAGCACTCGTTTGCAGATGCCCGGCCCACGGGCACCGCGTCCGCGTATTTGTCAGGATTAGCATAATCAAGCTGCATCTTGGTCGACCCGCAGGTCGTCTCTGTCGGACCGTACACATTGAAGAGACGAAGACTGTCTGCCCTGCCCAGATTCCTGAATCTCCTCAGTAACGGTACTGTGACGGCCTCTCCTGCCACCAAGGCTAGTCTCCAAGGCGATTGTTGAATGATGTCCACGTGCGCATTACGAAGCCAGGCCTTGTACTCTGTCGGAGTGGCATACGTGGTAGTCACATTCTCATCACGGATTAGCTCAGCCATGGCTCGCCCATCGGCTCTCAACGTATGGGAAGCCACATGCAGCCGCGCACCAACTGTGAGTGCCAGGAACAACTGCGTGATGGAGAGGTCGAAGCTCCAGGCGCTCTGCTGCAGCACAACATCCCCCGGCTTGAGCCCATACACGGCTTCGCAGTGCTCAAACTCATGTCGCAAGCTCTCATGAGTGAGAACTACACCTTTAGGTGTCCCTGTGGAGCCACTGGTGTAGAGAACCATGGCCGGTGCATCAGCGAGCGCAGTTGTGGGAAGAGATTCGGCAGGCACATCAACGGCGTTGGATACGTCGATCACGGCGCCTTGAGGTGCCAGCTCCCCCACCATCTCCCTAGTAGACTCATTACTCAAGACAGCTGCAGGCCTGCAGTCTTGAACCATGAGAGCCAAGCGGGCGGGCGGAGTCGCAGCGTCAAGGGGAACGTAGACTGCGCCAATCTTGAGGATCGCCACCACAGAGGCGACCCACAAAACGGTTGGATTCTGGCAAACAGCGACTTTAGAGCCAGCAGTAACGCCCTCCTGCAGCAGTGACGATGCGATGCTGTTAATCTGCCTCGAAAGCTCCTTGTAAGTCACGGGCTTGTTGACGCCGTCGGTTACGGCGACCCGGTCACCGATGGATGCGAGCAGCGCATCCAGTTTGTGCACGATGGTGTCGGTCCAGGTGATATTGAAGCCGGGACCTTGTATTGAGTCAGCTTTGTCAATACAGAGGTTCCTAATCGTTGGCTACTCACCGTGACCAACTGCAATCGCCTTTGACAACGAGGACTGCCTGAACTTCCATTTGCTATTCAGTGGATCGTCTGGCCGGTCAGCAAACTCCCGAAAGATATCTTCGTAGCCGTTTGCAAGAATCCGGGCTGCGTCTGCATTATAAAGACAGTCTTGAACGTTAAGGACGATCTTTGTGTCCGCGTCACCATCTGCGGTCGTGTTGGTAATGATTGTAAAAGCAATATCGTAGGGGAGCTCGGCCTGGTCCTCGGCCATCATCTCGCAGTCGCAGTCCAAAAACTCACGCCCGCTCTCAACGCTCGTCTCCGCGTAGTTCATAAATGCCTGAGCCAGTGGTGAGTGCGTGGCTTGCCTGGACACCTTGAGCTCGTTCAGGATGACCTCAAGAGGGATCGCGTTGGAGAGAGCCCCGTGGCTCTTTTCCCTTGACTCGACTATGGCATCCGCAAAGGACTGCGACGTCCGTGCCTTCATGCGAAGAGGAAGCATGTTCAAGAATGGGCCGATTCCAGTCCACATGCTTTCGTCTCGACGACAGCCGTCGGCAAAGCCGATGCAAACGTCCTCCGTACCCAGCCAGCGGAAGAGCAAAACCTTGAAGGCTGCTAGGTGAAAGTGGAACGGCGTGCACCTATACTTGCGGGCGACTTGCCGGATCCTGGTTGTGAGCGTGCTGTCAATACGGAACTCGCATTCCGGCAGCCCGGTGCGAGAGCTATACCTCTCGAGAGGACGGCGCTCCGGGATGCTGCTTCGATGGAGGGGTAAGGGCTCTGGAATTGTGGCAAACTCGCGGCGCCAGAACCTCATTGCGTCTGCCCACTTGCCTGAAGCGTGCTGTTCATGCAATCGATTGGAGTAGTTGAGGTATTGCAATGGAGTTGCTAAACTTTCATTTTGGTTTTTGTAGATGCGAGCAAGGTCAGCCATGAAGATGTCGGTGCTGGCTCGATCGAAGATGATGTGATGCGTGGCCAGGGCAGAGTAGTGGTCAGTTGGAGAGTAGGATAAGAGCAACACTCTCGCCGTGTGGCCTTGGCGCAAATCGAAGACAGTATTTTTCAGAGCGTCATACTCGCTCAAGACGTCGGCTTTGGTAAAGACGCGGCGATGCTCCAGCTCCAAAGTCGGCTCCGCAAGCACGCCTTGGGTATGGACTCCATCCTCTGTGAAGAAGCAAGTTCTCAAACCCTCATGGCGCTCTCCCAAGAGGCGCACCGCCCTATGGAGATCCGGTACTCTTATCTCGCCATTAAGATGAACCATGCCTGTGTTGTTTAGAGTTGTTTTGTCTTCCAACAGCTCGTGCACAAACATAAACACGGACTGTGTATAGGATAGGGGGCCGAACCTCTCTATCTCCAACTCTTTCTCCGGAGGCGGAGTCATGATTCTTGTCTCTCCCGTCTCAGATGTGGCGGTGCTATGGCTGTCTAGTGTGTTGCCGGACGATGATGCAGCGGAAATATTCTTGGTATCTTCGGGCCGTGGATGCACCTCAGGACCATCGGCGGACGGACTCGCACCGAACAAGCCCGGCGTCAGGTCGGCGGGCATTTCGTTGAGAGTCTGGTCGATAAGCTGCTGGAGCGAGACGCCCTTGATAATCTTCAACGCCGGGATATTAACTTTGAAGTGGCTGAGGAACCACGAGCGGATGCGGACTGCGACGAGGGAATCTAAGCCCAGCTCGTCTGTGCGAACGGCTGGTGTCATGGCGAAGTCCTCGCCCATATGGAGCATGGAGCACATTTCCTTGAGGAAATTGTCTATCAAAAAGACCAGTCAGAAGGTTGAAACATGATTGTGATCCCTAAGTGCTTACCAGTGATGACTTTTTGCACATCCTCCTTCGTCTTAGCCTCGGTCAGTTGATCTTTGATAGGGACAACAGCCCCACCAGCAGTGTTTGATGCTTTGTTTGAATCGTTCGCACTTGGGTCTCTGATAGTGAGGCAGGCGAATTGAGGGAAATTGTACCAGAGAGGTCGGTTCGGCGCCTCAGCCGGAAGTGGTATCAGCCCAGTTGTGATGTGCCATCCCACCTCGGAGCCCGGCGTCACAGGACTGGCGTTGATGGCCTCCGCGAACAAGCAGTGGACATCAGATTCAGACATGCCGAGCAGTCCCCTCTCCGCTAACGGGCGGGTCAAGGCGTCACCAATCTCTCTCGTGATGTATCCCGTGCCTAGGACGGGGCCCAGGTCAATCACGGAGGCAGCGAGGCCGCGACGACGCCGCTTGTGGGCCAGGCTGCCCATGAAGAAGTTGGCTGCAGAGTAGTTTGCCTGGCCGGCGTTGCCAGTGACACTAGCCGCCGAGGAGAAGAAGATGAAGAAGTCCAGGGGTGAGTCATGGAAGAGGCGATCGAGATTGATGCTGCCGTCAACCTTGGGGCGCAGGACCTTGTTGAGGTCTTCCAATGTCATGTCTCTCGTCAGGACGTCATTGAGTACCATAGCGCCTTGGGCAACACCAGCAATGGGAGGCAGGCTCTTGGTGATGGTGGCATGGGCCTCGACGAGGGAGTCATAATCGGTAATGTCACTGGTACTGTCGTTAGCTCTGCTGTCATGGCATTCACAAACAGGCGGTTCACAACTTACCAGCTAATAACCAAGACGGTAGCGCCTTTACGAGCCGCATTTTGAAGCCAGGCTTGACTGATCCTGGGGTTGCGACTCGATATGACAATATATCTAGCGCCACTGCGTACCATCCAGTCTGCCAGCGAGAGTCCCATGTCTCTAGAGAGCCCCGCGAGCCAGTACGTCCGGTCAGCTCTGAGCGAGACGTTGACTGGCTGCATAGTGACGGGCAACGTCTCGAAACCGGTCCAGTTCACAATTGTGAGGGGTGAATGAGTGGATGAGGCTGAATCTTCGTCGCTGGTCAACGCGCTGATGTGAACTTCTTCGACAGTTACACGGTCTGTGCCATCATTCCGGACTTCCTCCAATGCCAACTCCATAGCCGTATGGAGCATGTCTCCCACGGTTGTAGAAGGGACGAGGGCGTTATATGACTCGGCAGCGAAGATGGTGAACTTGCTGAGAATCTCAACATTCCTGGGAAAGCAGTTTGCCAGCACGGACGACTCGGGGGTCTCGGCCGCGAAATCGATCAGCATGGAGACGTTCAGAGGAAAAAGTGACTCCAACTCCGATTGCCTGGCGTACTCATTAATATGAGTCCAGTTGTTCTTGGCTGCCTCATCGCGCGATGAAGTCGTGAATGTGATGTTCTTTGCCTTTGAGGAGCGGGCCAAACATGCTCCCATCATGGGCGGAGCATCATGAACCACCACAGCCTGATGCCCGGCGATTTTTGCCTCAATCGTCAAGATAACAAGTTGACAGGCAACTAAAGTCAGGATCAGGGTCTCGGAGCCTACTCGAGGGACCGCCTCAGGTATCTCCACCAGGCTGGACGTCGCCACGTTGACCAGTGATGTTACGGACGACGTCAGCCCTAAGTACTTGACGCCTGTCGCCTCGCACGTTCCGGACGCAGCGAAAGCATCTCCCCATTCAGTCCTGACCGCAAAAAGGCTGGAGTGGTTAATCTTCAAGGAGGCGGTCGATGTCGAGCCATCAAGACTAATGGGCTGCTGTTTCTGCAGCGTATAAGCGGCCTGGCCGGTTGCTTTACGCAGCAAGACCGGACTCAGCTGAGGTCCAACGTCACACTCAATCTGGCGCAGCGACGAATTATACAGCGCATTTGCATCCACAAGAGGTCCCAACCGTGGGATGCGCTGGCGCCCGTCTGCATCTATAACAATCTCAGACTCCACCGACCACAGAGCCTTGCTGGACTTGCTTTGCTGGTCCCGGTTGTGCACCGATCCCGCAACCTGGAAGCGGAGAACGACTTCAGTGAGGGCGCGGGCATCTATTTTGGACTCGGGAACGTCTTGAAAGTCGACAAAGTGGTAGCGAAGCTCGGGGGCCTCCCAGATGGATGGTCGCACAAATCCTGGAGCCATGTTGGAGTAAGGGTTGTCGACGAGACGGTTATGCGTGACCCAAACAATAGTTTTCTCTGATCCAAACAGCGTTTTGAGGCTCTCCAGCCTCTCACTCGTCATGTCTTTGAACACAGGCTGATCCAGGTCTTGCAGAACCAAAACGGTTGACGACTTGTCGATTTGGTCGTGGTCCAGGTCTTCAAGGAGCTCCACTCGATTGATTGCCTCGTCGCAGAACGGTCTTATCAGCTTCTGCACCCCATCAATGAATCGCGAGACGTGGAGGTTCTGACCCCCGACGATGAATAGCTTCTTCAACACGGCCTCAGATGACTTCTTGGAGAACAGCGACGCGCCAGCCGCAGCCTGTGTCATGAGCGGCTGTCGGACAAAGTCAACCCAGTCATCCACTGCCTGGGACACCAGGACCGAGTTACAAAACGGCATGGAATCGTTGGTGGGAGTCATCGTGTCAACTCCTGAGAAGCCAGTCTTGCGAAGCAGAGCATCCCACTTAGACTCGCTCACGGCAGGGCTGAATATTCGGCCCTCATCCACACCCTGCCACCATCCTGGGAGACAGCCGAACAGGGCCGTGGGGCGGATTAGATTGACATTGGTGATCTCATAAAAGATGAGGTAACCGCCAGGCCGAAGCAGCGATCGCACCTTTTGCAGCGTCTTCTCAAGGCTCTTAGTCGCGTGCAGAACGAGGGACCCAATCACAATGTCGTATGAGTGCTTCTCAAAGTCCTGCGCCGCTGGGTCTTGCTCCAGGTCCAACACACGGAAGGACATTTGATCTTTATAAAGGGCGAATTCGGCCTGAGCATCATCAAAGAAGCCTGCCGACACGTCTGTGAATGTGAACGAGCCAAAGTTGTTTCCAATGAGCTTAAGCACCTCACGCGTTGCTCCACCCGTGCCAGCGCCAACCTCCAGAATATTGGCTTGGGGGTATCTGCGGGTGACCTGCAACACAGTATCGGCGAGGACAGTCACCTGTCCCATCCCCAGTGCCTTGGCGTAGTACTCATTCAGGAGACCAGTTACCATGAGATGATGTAGCATTGTCGTCTCCCCACGAATTGCTCGTGGCATCTGCTCGCCCACGATGTGCATCGCCTTGACCTCGGGCAATTCACTACACGGCTCGGTCAGAGTCTTGATGTCATCCAATGGGTCATTGACCCAGGCCCGTTTGCCATAGCGGTCCTTGCCCTCCATCACAAGACGGTGGGTGTGCGTAGCCCATCGCAGGTAAGCGGCGTTGAACTGATCAGATCGTCCGGGATGGTCGACAGGTACTTGGTCATCAAGCTGGCGCAAGTAGAAGTAATGGCCTCGCTCGAGGATCTCCGCCAGCTTTCGTTGCTCTGGGGTCGCGATGAATGGACCTGGCATATCAGCGTCAGGCTCTGCGTTGACCCAGCGCGTCACGTAGAACACAGTCCGATCGTCGCTCGGGGTCGCCACCGAGAAGGGCACGACCTGGAGGCCCTCCACTTGGATGGCTGAATAGAGACCATCTCGGCCATGGATCTCAACGTCGCCACGGAATTCAGGGGACCTGTCCGAGCTGTGTACTTGGTCGTCGCCAATCGTCGAAACAAACGGAACGGGCTCGGCTGTCCAATGGCGCCCGCAAAGGGCCGGGTTGACTCGGATTCTCTTGATACGCGTCGGTAGATGCAATGACCAGAGCTTTCCATCCCTCGGATAGCTGTAAGCCAGGATGACGGAGTGGATGGCGGCGTCCAACATGCCAGGGTGGACGGCCATCCAATTGTTGGCATCGTTGTATTCAGCTAGCGTGGTGTCGATGAGTCCCACGGCCTTTCCAAGCTTTCTGCTTAACCCCGACAATGCTTTGAAAGGGCCTGTGTATCCATAGCCCATGTCATGCAACGAGGAATACAAGACGTCGGTCGGGACATTCACCATGGCAGAGTCCCGTTTCGCATCGCTAGCAGGCAGGGTTTGTTGGCAAGGCTCGCCTACAATGACACGCATCTGGCCACTTGCGGCGAGCTCCAGAGACCCGTTTGAAGAGTAATACTCGTAGGTAAAATGGCCTGTTACTGTCGCATCATCATGCAGACGGCTGACACCACCAATCGAGAATCGTACCTCAATACTGGAATCAGAAGAGTCGTTGTCGAATACCATGGCCTGATGAATGACGAGATCCTCAATTTCGACAAGACGAATGACCTTCCCATCTGCCAGGAAAGGAGCCGCCTCCAGCACAGTCACGGCGTACCCAGCCGCTGGAAAGACGCTCTGGCCCTGTATCTTGTGGTCATGGACCCAGGGAATGTCTTCGGAGCGCAAAACAGCTTTCCATGAAAGATTTTGGGGAGAGCTGGAGCTGCAAATATCGCCAAGGAGAGGGTGGACGGGTGAGCTCCTGAAGCGAAGGCGACGAGACGTGTGGGACTCATGCCAGTGCCCCCCGTTGTGGCTATGGTTCCATTGGTACAGTGGAAGACCCGCCACGAACCTAGGCTTGGATGATCCCGACCCACTCAATGCGTTCTCATATTTGTCAAAGTTGATGGAAATATTTTCCACATGAGTCCAGAGATATCCAAGTGCCGTGGACATGCTCCAGGCTGCCTCGGTGCCACGCTCAAGGATCCCGGTATAGGGCAGTTGGCTGACCTTCAATCCTTCGAGGATCTGACGCACAGGTCCTTTCAGAGCTGGGTGTGGTCCGACTTCGACGATGGCATCGAATGGCCCTAGCTCCGTGACGGCTCGCTCGACGGCCTGCTTGAACAAAACAGGCGACAGGAGGTTGTCGACCCAGTAGGAGGCATCCAACTCGGCTACTGATGTGTCCGACCCGACGGCCACACTCGATACCCACACGCAATCCGAGTGGACCTCCGGACGAGACGGATGCGACTGAAAGCTCAGCATAGAACTCAAGTATGGCTGTGAGCAAGGAATCATGTGGTGTGAATGGTACGCCTTGTCGACCCTGAGCCGACGAGCTGTTTTTCCTTCGTCTTCGAACAGCCCCGCAATCTCCTCAACAGCATCACTGTCACCGGATAACGTGACGCTGTTGGGAGAATTGCAGGCCGCAACCGTGACGCGTCCTTGGAAGAACTCGTCGCGGCAGACCTCGCTTGCGTCTTCCATGTTGGTGCTAACGGCCACCATGGCACCCTGTGCGCCGTTAGGCCCTCCAGCCAGGCGAGTGGAGTGAAGGCCACGATAGTAGGCAATTCGAATGGCATCAGTCGCGGACAGGCGACCGGTATAGTAAGCCGCGCCAATTTCACCAGAAGAGTGGCCAACGACGGCGGCGAATTCAACACCGGCTTCGCGGAGGAGGTCCACGAGAATCACCTGGACGGCTGTGCACAAAGGCTGCGAGATGGCAGCGTCGCCGACCCTGGACTTGTTCGCGTCCGCCAGAAGCTCTTTGCGAAGCGTCCAGTTAGGGCGGTCTTGTTCGTTGGGAAGATTGGCAAGCTCAGCGTCCAGCTTGCTCAGTATATCGGACGCATATTTGGAAGTCTCCACTAGCTGAGCTCCCATTCGAGCCCACTGAGCACCCTGCCCAGTGAAGATACCCAGGAGCTTGGCCTTGCGCTCTTTTGTGGTGGCAGAAGAGCCCGTGGTTGTAAGCTTTAGCCTCTGGTCCAGCTGTAGCTTGTTAGAGTCGCTGCTGGTAATCTTGAGGAGACTGCTACGCAGCATTTCGACCGAGGAGGCCGATAGTGCGACTAGAAGTGGGAAACGCGACCGTCGTGAACGCAATGTCCAGGCAAGATCGGCAAGGCGCGTGTCTGGATGTTCTGATAGATAGGCGGCGTGGGCAGCCAGATTCGCGATCAGAGACTGCTTGGACTGTGCGGAGAAAACGAAAGACCTGATCATATCACCTTCGCCACCCTCATCTACATGCTCGACCTGCATGTCGTCCCCCAGGCTTTCCAGAATAACGTGGGCATTTGTACCGCCGAATCCAAAGCTGTTGATGCTAGCACGCCTGCATTGTCCCGGGGCCACCTTTGGCCAGGGAGTGAGCTCACTAGCAATGCGAAGGTTCTTGCACCAGGGTTCAACGCGGGGGTTCATTGTGAAATCCAAGACCTTTCCGTCCAGTACACGGTTGCCGTTAGGTGGAATCTGGCCGTGGTTCAAGGCCTGCGCAACCTTGACGATGGCCGCGAGTCCCGCAGTGCTCTCTGTGTGACCGATGACTGTTTTGATGGAGCCTACTACGATCTTGTCGGCATCGTTAATCTCGATAGGCATGCCGTTGCTGTTTTGGAAGAAGGCTGTATGAATAGCCTCTGCCTCGACGGGCTATATATGTGGTCAGCTTGCAGGTAACTCTCCAGCGGGCTACACAAAAACTTACATCTCCAGCCGGCGTTCCCGTGCCGTGAGCTTCGACGTATTGGCATCGATCCACCGGTGAAGTCAAGTCCAGACCAGCCCGGGCATAGACGTCGCGGATCAATGCGACCTGAGCCTTGGCCGTGGGCATTGTAATACCGGGGCTTCGGCCGTCTTGGTTGACCCCAGACTCCCGAACAACACACTCGATGTGGTCTCCGTCTGCTAATGCCTGTCTCAGCGTTTTGAGCACCACAGCGGCGACACCGTCTCCGCGAGCGTACCCATTCGCGTCATCTCCCCACATACGGGAGCGTCCATCGGGTGAGAGCATTTTCAGGTTGCTCTCGTAGATGTAAGGCTCAGGCCCCAGCAGGAGATTTGTTCCCGCCGCCACTGCGATGGTGACCTCACCGGATCGTAGGGACTGGACTGCTTGGTGCAGCGCCACAAGGGATGAAGAACACGCTGTGTCGACGGTCAGCGACGGGCCGTGCCAGTCGAAGAAGTAAGAGATTCGGTTAGACACCATGCTTCGAGCAACACCTAGACATCAAGTTAGCATGCTGCATTCAATAGACGACTAGCAATGTAAACATTCTTACCCGTGCCATGGTACAATGGAACATTTTGCAAGTCTCTATACTGCTGGGACTCATAATCTCCGTACATCATGCCGACGTAAACGCCAGTATCTGAACCCTTTAGCCCCTCAAGTGTCTGTCCAGCCGCTTCAAGGCTTTCGTAAACCGTCTCTAGCAGTATGCGCTGTTGTGGATCCATGGCGGCCGCCTCGGTCACTTGTATATTGAAAAAGCGAGCGTCAAAGTTGGCGACGTTTTCCTCTAGCAGGTACGACCGGCGGACGTTACTGGGACCAGGGAATTGGTGGTCGGGGTGGTAAAATCCTCGCTGATCAAACCGGCCTGCGCTTAGGAGGTCCCTGGAAACATCTCGGGGACTGCGGAGGAGGTCCCATAGCTTGGAGGGAGTGCTGGCACCACCTGGAAATCGACAGCCGGTGCCAATGATGGCGATGGGCTCGCTCTGTAGCATGCTTGGCTGAGTAGAAGGCATCGTATTATTCCAGTTTGAACGTTGGAGGTTCAGATGAAAGGGGAATATAGCAGAACAGGAGGGATTATGAGGTGTCTTGGTCACCCTATTCTACTCGAAATATCAGGTTGGAACAAGAAAGCACTGAACGATGACTCGCTCTGTATAGTTGTATTAATTACTGGAATGTACCTCTCATATCACTAAGGAAAAAAGATTCTACAGATTGGTCAAATACTCCTCGCTGCTGTTACCCGGACATACGGACATCTCCCAAGATCGAAGCATTTCGGCGCCCATTCCTACGATCCCGGACCAGCAGTGGTGTGGGGCAGTGGACTCGGATCTGCCGATCAGTTCGGAGGGCTCCAGCCGTAACCATAAGCAATCCTCCGATTAAGTATCCGTGTCCATAGAATACACACTAGTGAATGGTAGAGGCTGCAGCGTTGAATTCTAGCCTTAGGGAATTAATTAATAGCTTACATGAGTTATAAATTTATGTTATCATGAACCTACTTTTATAATACTTAAAAACAGCACGTCATTCATGGTACACTACTAACTATGGGATACATCCTGTGTAAAAAAGAAAAACAAGATAGCCTTGAAAACTCATAAGTCAAAATCAAAGGCTATCTTCAACGCTTAAAATACATTTCCGTTACTAAAACTAGTTAATCTTGTGCTTAGAACATTACAATCACCTATGTCCTGGAATATGGCAATCACTATAGCACAGAGGTGCCTGTTTATGTATTATTCTGCATCTACTACTTAGTAGAGATAGTTAGTACAGCTTTATCAGCCTAATCCCTCTATTAAACAAGCTACTAGCCTTCCTAGATGGAGAATCCCTCTGCAGTTTCTACCTATTGCCTAGACTACTTCTTCTTTTAAAGCTACCTTTTTTTTTTTTTTTTTTTTTTTTTTTTTTTTTTTTTTTTTCTCTTTTTTTTTTTTTTTTTTTTTTTTTTTTTAGGGCCCAAAAAAACCTAGGGTTTGTGATAACCATACCCAAAAAAAAAACCAATTCACCCCCAAAAGGCGGGGGGGCCCCTTCTTCTTTAAACCCTTCCCCACCCCCCCAAAACAAGGCGAACATGCTTTTCGCCCTTTTTTTTGAAAAAAAAAAAAAAATATAGCACACCATCACATACGTACAAT